TACAAGTACCTGATTTTATTAATGTTTGTCAGGTAGAAAAATTCTTCTGTTGTCCTTTTTTTTTTTAATATATATATAATTTTTCATGTTCAATTAGTGTTTAATCTTTCTTGATGATCCTGATCAAGTAGCTGATATTTTACAAACACTTGTTCGTGGTACAACTGATCAAATGCTTATGGCATATCAAATTGGTTTTGATTTATATGAAAGTGCAACACAACAATTTTTAAATAAAATTCAAGATGCTTTACGTGTTCAAGCACCAATTCCAATTATGTTTGATAAACAACAAGAAACAATTAAAGATGAACAACAAGGGTAAGTTTGTTCTTTTTTTTTTTTCTAAAATAAAAAAGAAAAAACTTTTTTCAATAAAATAAATAGAACTAATGGTAGTGAATCTATGGAAACAAATCAGGATGAAACTAGTAGACAATCAGTAGAAGAATCAACACCATCTAAAGATAAACAATCTTTACAACAAGAACATAAAGATAAAGTCAATAATTTAGTATGTCGAGTATTTTTATTTGATATTATATAATATTTTTATTTTTATTTAAGTCTCAAGAAGAAAAACAATTACAAGAACGCATTGAAAAATTATTAAGTATTCTTAGTGGTGAAATAACTATTGGTGTACATATGCAATTTTTAATTAAAAATAATCATGCTGATTTATTAATTCTTAAACAAATTAAAGTAAGGATATGATCAATATCTTTTATTCTTTTATAATTATTATTCAATAGGATGCTGTACGAAATTCAGTATGTCATACAGCTACGGTTATTGCCAATGGTTATATGTTATCAGGAACAACAAGCGATCAATTTTTTAGGTATATATTTAATAAGATTATTTTTCTATATAAACAATTAATATTAATGTCTATTTAGAGATAATCTTGAATGGCTTGCTCGAGCTACTAATTGGGCTAAATTTACAGCTGCGGCAAGTCTTGGTGTTATTCACAAGGGTCATATAAAAGAAGCACTTAATTTAATGAGTGCTTATTTACCAAAAGATTCAACAGGTAATTCACCATTTGCTGAAGGTGGTGGTTTATATGCACTTGGTCTTATTCATGCAAATCATGGTGGAGATATTATTGATTATCTCATTAATCAATTACGATCAAATTCAACACAAACGGATGTATGTAGAATTTTTTTTAATGTAAATATTTCGGAATAAATATTTAATTTAATTTCTTTTTTCAGACGGTTCGTCACGGTGCTTGTCTTGGCTTAGGTTTAGCTGCAATGGGCACAGCACGTAGTGATGTCTATGAATTATTAAAAACAAATTTATTACTTGAAGATGCTGTAGCTGGTGAAGCAGCTGGTTTAGCTATGGGTCTTGTTATGTTAGGTACTGGTTCAGCTCAAGCTATTGAAGATATGGTTCAAGTATGTTGAAATATAAAATATCTAAAAATCAATTATAAAATTTATTTATTTTTAGTATGCTCAAGAAACACAACATGAAAAGATTTTACATGGTTTAGCTATTGGTATTGCACTTGTTCAATATGGTCGTTTAGAAGAAGCTGATGCACTTATCGAACAACTTCAACGTGACAAAGATCCAATATTACGTCGTTCAGCTATGTATACTGTTGCTATGGCATATTGTGGTACGGGTAATAATGCAGCTGTACGCAAACTTCTTCATGTCGCTGTAAGTTTTCAAGGAAAAGAAAATATTGACTGACAAAACAAACCTCTTTCGTTATATAGGTTAGTGATGTAAATGATGATGTTCGTCGTTCAGCTGTTGAATCACTTGGTTTCCTTATGTTTCGGTAAGTGTTACGGTTTTATTTTCATTCACATTCATTAGAAATATAATTATATATGTATTATAAAGTGCCGAGAGAGAGAGAAAGAGAACAATTTGAATAACTTCCTTTTCCTTCATTAATGTAATGTTAAATACATCTAGATGAACTGATATGAATTTCACATCAATTGTGACACTTGTTCAATAGAAAAAAGAACCTTGAATAACTAGAAAAAGTAACAATTATCAATATGACTTTATCACAATGTAATGAGATATTTCATTTTGATTTATTATGAAAATCAAAATAGAATAATATGCTTGGATTACATGTAGAATTTATAGAGTTAAACAAATTGTGTCTAAAATAAATATCTCTACATGTCTAAAGCACATACTTCTAAACATCTTCATAAGTCAATCTGTTTTTTTATGACAATACACAATACTAATGAGAAAAAGTCTCCCAGTGATAAATTGCTTTCCAGCTGGAACTATATTCAGTCAACAATATCTAGTGAGTAGGTAAATATCCTATAATGGTTCAAACTGCTGGGTTTTTATTACTGAGATTTCATATGTTGAGTGGATTTTTCTTATAGGATCCTAGTTTTCAACCAAAAACATATTATTGAAATTTAGACCTGCAATTTTGTCTACATAAAAGTACCGATTAGATTAGGTTGTAGAAAAGCTTCAAAATCTTTTTGTGTAAACTAGTCAAATCCGTGCCATCATGTAAGTGAAGTTGCTGATCAAAATTTAAAAGGATAATTTCACTTGAAAACTAGGTTACTACAGGAAAAATCCATAAATTAGTAATAAAAACCCAACAGCCGAATCACTCGAGGGGTATTTACTTACTCATTAGACCCTATTAATTGTATATAGTTCCAGTTAAAAAAAAAATTATCATTTGAGAACCTTCCTTCATGAGTATCCTATTTTATTAGCTTTTGTCGATCGTAACATACAAAATCAACTCTTGCGTTTTATTCACATTATTTTAATGTTCTCTTCATTCGAATGTCATAGAACACACAAACTTCTCAAATCTACTGTGATATTTAGTACTTCAAATTATTATAGTTCAATGTCAGAGTAAAATAAATATCATATTCAAAATTAGTTCCAAAAAAAATAATTTGTGATTCTAAAAGACTCACTATGTTGAATTAATTTCGAATCTGGTGTTTATTGTACTTTGACATTGAATTATAATGATATCAAGTACAAAATATCACAGAATTGTACAAAAATTTGTGTGTTATCTATTTCAAACTCAATTTTATAAAATCTATGAACTCTATATCTAAATCAATATGATTTTTCTATTCTTTTTTTTCTATACTAAATCAAAATAAAGTTCACAAAATATATCTCATTGCATATGTTGATGTTTCGTATTGTCCTAATCATTCAATCTCTTTTTTTTTCATAGTAAACAAGGCTTAAAAAGACATAAAAACTATAGGTTCGTGATCCTTTTGTCCAATTTTATGAAATACAATTGCTAGAAACGAAAAAAAACAAAACTCCATTTAACTTTTTTTAATTTCCTACACTTAAGTTCTTTTTAAGTAATGAGCTTTTAATATGTTGATTCTATTAAGACTTCAATATTTATTCACCATTGAAAAACAATAAAGAAAAGAAATTCTTCTAAATATTCCCAAATGAACATCTTTAAACATAGGAATAATAATTGCCTCAAGAGAATTAATTTTCGGTTGAACTTGACTGTTAACAATTGTTATTTTTTTTTTCTTCCTATCAATCAAATTATATAGATGTCCATGAAAATTTAACCGATATAATAATATGTTTGTTTGATCATTCGTGTTTCGTCAGTTTCAATTAGACTAATTTTAGTTTTTTTTTTGCCGATAATGCATAGCAAAAAGAAGAAGATAAGAAAAAGAAAACATTCTCATGAGATTTTTGAAGAACATGCATGCATATCGCATACAAAATTAGTTAGAAAAATATATGTCGAATGCATCAAAATGTGTTTGTATTAGAAACATGCTTCAAGGGAATTGTACCGAAATATAATATCTGCACATTAACGTTGTATTATTGATTTGCTGTTTGCATGATTTACTACTGGTCTACTTGTTATAACATGGTATTTGTGCTTTAACACACATAAAACTCGTTTGATGATGATGATGATGATGATGAATTATACAGAGTATCGTAGAATGAGAATATTAGAGAATACATACGAATGTGCTTCCGGGGATAATATGTGATCAATTTTTGTATAGTTACTAATATCAACAGCAGAAACAGTAGTTCGCTGTCTATCGACAAGCAAAAGTTATTAGTAATGTACTGTCGCCATCATTATGAAGGGTAAAGAACGTAAAGGTTACCACGGATGGGCAAAATAAGAGGCAACTGTTTCTGTCTTTTGTATGTGGATCTTGTTGTCTAAAAGAAAAACAAGCAAAATGTAAAGTAACATACAACATATATGACGATATGTCATGAATATATATATTAATCTTATATAGTCTTCTATTAGAGACCTTTGCTTCGGTTAATTTGAGTTGAAATGCAAATGAAATAACAGTAATATGAGACATTTCAGTTTTATTTCGTTATGCATACGGCTACTTAAACAAAACAGATGAAAGGCATGTTTTTCATTGCAAAAAAAAAACATATGCCTCTAGTGAATATTCTATCAAAAATGAATTTTTTTTTATTAATTCTTAAGTAACTAAATCAGCTGTTCAAAATACATGGATTTCTGTTTTCTTGTACTCTTATCAATATCTAAGTAGCTTGCTGTGCGAGATTAATAAACTTTGATGATCTTTTTTTTTCCTTGTTTATCGTGTTTATTATATTCTTGTCAAAAAACTAAGTATATGATCATCAGATGTAACTAATCTTGAATGAGACTTACATTTATTTGTTTATTTTGTCGGTGCGTATTGCATCATAATTAAAAGATGAATTAAGTTTATTATTTTTTTTAATCATATAAACAATTTAAAAAAAATAGTTTTTCTCTTTGTTTGTGTTTTGTCATCTAGTCGTGTTTTGTTATTCTATACCATTGATAAAAGTGAAATAGAAAGAAGAAAAAAAAACAAGAAAAAAAAAACAATATAAATATTGTCCACAGATGTTTGTTTTTTTGTTTTTCTTAAAGAATATACACTTCTAAAAAAAAGAAACTGGAAATGTTTATAAAAAATTTATAATTGTTGTGGTATTGTATGTAATAATTTTAATTCTTGTTGTTCATAAAATGTATCCATACGACCAAGATCATTTTTTGTTAAACCATTTCTTCCTTGAAGACGTGATCGATATGATGATGAATAACTTGGATAATATGCAAAATGTCTATGTCGTCTTGTTGAATATAAACAATGACATCTAAGTAGAGCAATAAATTTTAAACGAAAATTACGATTAAATATTGTGTAAACAAGTGGATTAATTGTTGATGAAACATAACCAAGCCAAACAAAACCATTTAAAATATTTGGATTAACTGAACATCGTTTACAAACTCCTTGTAATAAATTCATAATACAAAATGGAAACCATGCTACGACAAATATAACAAAAACAACACCAAGTACTTTAACTGCTTTTTGTTCATTACGTACAGCTGAAGATTTTGTACGTGACATACTAGGACTTGGTGTTATTGTTGAACGATTCCAATTTCTTCTTGCAGTTCTACGAGATGTCGAACGACTTGAAGATGTTAAACATTGATTTGATTCTGTTGACATTGGATGTGGTTTAGGAGAACAATGTCGACGTAAACGTGGAGAAGGACTAGTATTTGTACGACTACAAAAATATTTTAAACAATTTAAACGTGATTCAGGTTCAAAAACAGTTTCTAATTGTGGTTGTGGTTGTTGTTGTTGTTGCTGTTGTTGTTCTTGTTGATGATTACAGGTACATTTTAATTGATAAAATGGATTTGTTGGACAAGCATATTCAATATGTGGTGAAGATTTTATTGGTGCTTGTGATGGAAGATCTTGTAACACAATTGGTTTTTCTTCAATTTGAGATTCTTGATCACATTGTTCTTGTTGTAGTTGTTGTTGTCTTTGTTGTTGTAAACTTGTATTATCTGCACTTTCTTCGCTTAATTCTAAACTTGTTTGAGGTCGCCGTAAACGTGTACGTTTTAATACTCTAATTGATAATGGTGTCCATTGTGAATTAGTATTAGCAATGGCAGCTGCATTAGCAGTATCTCGTGTTGGTATATGTCGTCTTAAAAATGGTTTAGCAACTAAACTAGCTGCACGAGCTAATTGTTCTTGAGCAAGTTGTGTTTGACACTGTCGTATTTGTTCTTTTAAACGACGTACCGTTAGTGTATACATAATAATAACTATAATCAATGGGATGACAAATGAAACAACACTACCATAGATAACAAAAAATTGATTATTTATTAAACATTGTCCATCAATAAAAATATTATATGGATTAATTGCACCAAGCACAATCATTGGAGATGATAATAAAATTGCAATTAACCAAACAAGTATAATCAATACAAGAATTTTACATTTTTGTTGTCGATTACGAGTATTTAATGGATCATTTATTGCTAAATAACGATCAATTGAAATAACAACTATATGCATAATTGATGATGTACACGAACAAACATCCAAAAATATCCATAAATCGCACAAAGCTGGACCTAATATCCAAAAACCTAAGTCAAAATAAATAGAAATACTTTTTGTTTTTCCTGTTTGTCTTTTAAATTTTAATTCGAATTTGCTTTTTTCGTTTTTTCTTTACCTGTAAATTCTTTAACAACAGCTAATGGAATGACAAGACCCGATACGAGCATGTCAGCAAGTGCTAATGAGAAAAGAAACCAATTTGTGCGATTTTGTAAACGTCGTTCAGTTGCTATTGCTAGACAAACAAGTAAATTACCAATAATACCGATAATGGAAAAAAATGACAGAAGTAGTGCTGGCCAACAATAAGAAATTATAAGTATTGTATTTGAGTGCCGTTGAGTTGCCGAAAAAATGAGGCCACTATTATGAATAAAAACAACAGAAGTTGTGTCCTCGTCGGCGGCAACGGCGTCGGACGAGACATTTGCGTGCATCGAAAGTCATTCGTGTTTAAAAATCTTCGTATGCTTTGCCACTCCGATTGCGTAGCAGTAGAAAGAATAGAATGTAGCAAAGATCTGAAGAAAAAGGGACACAGACAGAGCGCTCGTGCAAGAGAGAGAGAGAGACAGGAGATACAAAAAAAAATACACTATTATTGTTGCTGCTATCGCTTTTCTCTCTGCATATAGAAAACCGGAAAGAGAGAGAGAGCGACACACACATACAGCGAAAAAGAACTATGTTGGTCGTATCAAGGAAAGATCGTTTTTTTTTGATTAATCATCTATTCCTATAGAAGTGCACAAACAAACTCTTTGTTGAAGTGCTCGATTATTGGTTTCCTTATTTTTTTCCCACTTCTACCTAAATGCATATAGAAATATTTACCAACGTCACACTTATTTTGATAACCATCGTCCGAACTGAATTAATAGAATCAACCAATATAGAAGATTGCCATTATACGGGGTGTTTCTGTCAACAACAAAGGCTGAAAAGACAAACAAGAATAGAATCTTCGAAAAAATAAAAAACAAAAGTCGTTGATCATTGGAAGAAAGCACTAGTTATAATAGTAGTTACGTCGAATAGTAACCCTCCTTATTGCATCCTTCAAATTACTTGTGTTCTCTTAAAGTAATTGAGACATCATGACAAGATAAGATTTGTATGTGCGCTTGCACACATTCGTTGCTACAGCTTTCACTTGCTCTCGAACTAATGAAGCATCTAATAGGCAAAAGAAAAAAAAAATGAAAAATGAGAGGAAAAAGAGCAAGGCGCAAAAAAGATCGATTGATCGATCAATTCTAATTGACAAATCGAAAAGAAACGCAACGACATATTCTTTTCAGTACCTTCTTCATTTTAAAGAACAAGAATTTGATATATACACAACGAGATTTCAATCTAGAAGAAACAAAAAGAAAATGTTTTGTCTATTTAAAAATGAAAAACAAAAAAAAAAGAATCTTAAACCAGCAAACATCATTTTCTCTCGTTTGATTCACGATTATTTTGATACTACTGTTGCCTTCCTCTCTACAAATTACATGTTATATAATCTTACAAATCTAGTCCAGCGCAATTTCCCGTGATACGATACAATCATCTGATTTTAATCGTTATGAGAGAGAGAAAGAACGTTTGTCCATTGGACTTGTCATATTTCAAATGACAGAAGATGATTAGTCTTTTATTTATAGTGATTTATTTTTTTACTACTGTTTATTGATTGGCATAACAAGTTTAGTTGTTTTTCTTGATGCTCTTATTCTTTTCCACTGGTAGCAATTTGCTTATTAATATGATGTGTTAGTAGCTTGAGACAAGAAAAGAAATAATAGAGTCATACTAGCTTTTGTCGACTCATCAGTCTATAATATGCAGCTGTGACACCCATTTTCTTCGTTGTTGTGTGACAGCAACGATAATAGCAATAATAATTCTAAATACTTAATTATATTTAGTACGCCTGAACAATTTCCTTCAGTGGTTAATCTATTAGCTGAATCGTACAATCCACATGTGCGATGTGGTGCTGCAATGGCACTTGGTTTAGCTTGTGCTGGTACAGGCAATAGGGTAGAAACTATTATTGTTTTTTGTCTATATTGATTTTAATATAATTTTATACAATGATAGGAAGCTATTGCTGTACTCGAACCAATGTTAAATGATGCTGTGAATTATGTTCGACAAGGTGTTTTAATAGCATCAGCACTTATTTGTATTCAACATACGGAAGCAACTTGTCCAAAAGTTTGTAGCAAATTTTTTTTTTTGTATAAAAATTTTTATTTTATTATTTTCTTAATTATCTAGGTAAAAATGTTTCGTGAACATTATATGAAAGTAATTAGTGATAAACATGATGATATAATGGCAAAATTTGGTGCCATTTTAGCTCATGGAATTCTTGATGCTGGTTTGTAACAAATTAACTTACTAGTTTCTTGGTTTTTTTTTATATTAGAAGATAATTATTCTAGGTGGTCGAAATGTTACTGTATCATTATTAACACGTAGTGGTCAAACAGATACAATGTCTGTTGTTGGATTACTTGTTTTTACTCAATTTTGGTATTGGTTTCCATTCAGTCTTTTTCTTTCATTGGCATTTTCACCAACATGTTTAGTAACACTTAATCAAGATCTTAAAGTAAATGATATATTCATCTAATTTCAATGAAGAAAAAACATGTTCTTTTCTTTTTCAATTATATTCTAGATGCCAAATGTGGATTACATATCAAATGCTCCACCGTCTGTATTTGCATATCCACCAGCACTTGTGGATAAAAAAGAAGAAAAAAAAGAAAAAGTTGAAACAGCTGTACTTTCAATAACAGCCAAACAAAAAAAACGTGACCTTGAGAAGAAAGGTGAAAAAACTGATGAAACTACAGCAATGGAAACAGTAAATAAATCTTTAATTTAACATTCTATTCGATATTAATAATATATATATATATATAACTATATTCAGGATTCGGAAGAAAAAAAACCTACTACTTCTATTGATGATGATACTAAATCAAAGAAAGATATTGATGACAAGGACAAGGTGACACCAATAGAAAAAAAAGATGATTCAACAGGTCTATCTAACAAAAAAGAAAAGGAGCCTGATTCGGAAATACTTCACAATCCAACACGAGTAGTGAAAGCTCAAGTATGTTATCTTTCTTGTCAAATATATAGATAATTAACTATAATCGATTGTTTTGTTTTACAGCAACGTTTACTTTCATTACCGAAAGGTTCACGATATCAACCAATTAAAGATATAACACATGCTGGTATTATTCTTGTTAAAGATACACAAACAAATGAACCAGAAACATTAGTTGAATTAGCTAAAGGTTAACAAAAATTAATAGAATAAATTTATTATTTACTTTTCTAAATTATTATTTCATTTATTTATTTCAGCTGGTGGACCAACGAAAGAAGAAGACTTACCAGAACCACCTCCACCTGAACCATTTGAATATCGAGATGAATAAATATTTTCTTTCTTTTTTTTTGTTCCATCATCATCATTAACTAGCAAATCAAGCTAATATGTGTGTTGTTCAACCTTCTTTCTTTTATCCTTGATCAATATAATAAAAGGTTTTCTTTTTGGCGCACTCTACTATCCTTCTAACTTCTTCTCGTATCCGTTTTTCTTTGATTTATTTCTTCTTCTTCTTCTTCTTTTTTATTATCATTATGGCTGCTCAGCAATAAATAAAACAAGGATGAAAAGAATTTGTTTTTCTTAAGCATAGAAGTTGAATAAGAACTGCATGTTGGAAAAAAAAATCAAACGTCATATGCAAATAAATAAACAGAGGAAGAGAAAGAAAGACAAAAAAAAAACTTCGATGCTTTTACAAGTGCTGTTTTTCCAACAGTCAATACTTTTAACAATAATATAGAAGTTATTTTTATTTCAACTATCGTATTTCAGATCGATTCCTTTGGAATTTCTGTTAGATTATCGAACGATATGGCATCAGCAACTATCGAATTGGGAGATTTCACTTGTAGTATTTGTAAGTTTGACAACAAAAAAAACTGATAATTTTTTAACCAAACACAAACAAAAAGATATTTTCATACTTACTAAGAATATTCTTGTTGACTTATTCTCTTCTAAGAGGTTTATTTTCAAGATATATTAGCTCTTGTATATTAAAACCATATCGATTTCTTATGACAATAATATATAAACTATTTTGACAGAGAGTCTGTGCAATGTCAACAAATAGTTTCTGTCTATAGTGCAACTACTTTATCAATTACTAATGGATAATGAGCCCATTAAAGGTCACAATGAGACACTATGGATTGTATCTTGTTTCGATTGGAATAAGAAATTATTTTTTTGTTCTTCAATCAAGAAGATTATAAAAACAATTATTATTAGTAACATTCATTTGAACTTTAAAAATTACTCTTGTTCCAATATTCTATGTAAATTATAAAGCAAGAGATAATCATTTTCTAGGTTCGTTATTGATCAAAGCACTAAATCAAATAATTTAATTCATAGGTCGTGAAATATTTGAAAATCCTGTCAGTCTTTCTTGTTTACATTCGTATTGTCAATCATGTTTAAGTGGTCTAAGAAAACCACCATCAACACCATCATCATTAGATACACCACTAATTCCAGCACCACCTACACCGACTTATGGATCACTTATTTATAGACCAAAATTTCATGAAACCAATCAATGTTTTGTTTGTGCTATATGTCGAACAGAATCTTTCGGATATTCAGATTGTCGAGATCTAGAAGTTGATTTAAAAACGCTTGAAGGATTATGCCCTCATTGTTCGAAGCCATTTATGTTATGTAATTTACGAAAACATCTTGAGAACTGTACGCCACCATCAAAGCCAAATGTAGGCGTTGAAGAAATTAAAAAAATTTTTACCACAGATTTTTTTAAAAAACTATCACAACCACAAGCTGAAGCATTACAAAAAGCACGAGCTGGAGAAAATCGTTCAACATTTCAATGTCCTTATTGTCCGACAGCAAAGTATAATGATAGAAAATATATTTTGTTTTTCATTTGATTTGATTTGATTCGTAGTTTTACTGTGGAACATCTTTGTGAACATATAGAAGAAAATCATTTAGATGATGATCCACGTCGAGTTTGGTAATTAAAAGAAATTTGTACAAAGTGGAAAAGATTTTAATACTAACATGTTTTTGATTGTTTTTTGCTATAATCTTAAGCAATTAGCTAAAATTCAATCCAATTAGTGATTGTAATAACTAATGACGTTTTCTATCTAATGCATTCCATATATAATGGCAAGGTTTCTAAAAAACCGGGCATGGTAGTTTTTAGGTCTCAGAAGACTCTGTCGGAACTATTTTTAATAATATCATTACAATAAGGACGAAATGAAGAGTCGTTGCATTTTCTAAAGCGTTCCCGTGAAAAAATTGATACTGTCACAAAAAAATGAAACTTATCAAAAA